ATATATAGATATATATAGATATATATATTTAAAAGGTGACGCAGACATATATACGTGCATAGGCTGATTATGTTATAAAAAATAATTTTTTACCTTTAACCACACATAGAAGGGAGAAAAGAAGATCTAAACCTTTGTGAATGATCATATGTTAACATATTTAGTTCTGGTTTATTTCATTCAACACGTTATAGCATATCATATACATTATAACCCCTTAGCAGTCCAATTAGTCCCCTAAACCATCCAATGTCCCGTGGGCGGTACGTCCGACTGCTAAGGGGATAACTGTACAGTTTCTGCTTAAATATTGAAAAACCAAAAATTTATTTTTTTTGTTCTTATTAATAGTGTCAAAGTAAATTAAAATAGCCCTCCACAGACTCAACATTAAAGGGATAAGCAGTCATGTGTCATTTTATAGTAGAAAAAAATCAATTAACACTACTAACTGGAAATAAAATAGTTACAGAATATTTAATTGATGATTAAATGTTAATTTAGGGAAAAAAGTCTAACTTGACAAGACACCTTGTCAAGTCAGACCAAAGTCTATAGTTATATTCAATAAAAATGCTAATGAAGATTGGATGCAACTAACATGCATTTTTAATGCAGGAGAAAGAGAAAGAACAGCATATTTTATTGAAACACACAGTTTTACAACAAACCAAATCCATAAACTTTAATAAACTGTTTGGAGATTAAACTTCACTTCAGCAACATAACAGAATAGTGTCCCAGCAATGGTGGGATGTACAACAGGATTTCTCCCCATAATGACAAAATGGGCAGCATTGGATTTTGTAAATAAGAATGCCTCAAAGGCATAATTATAGAAAAGCACTGACATTTAAACTACAGGGAATAGAGGTTACTTTTGAGGTCGTTTGCTTGCCTTGTTCCCATTTACACTTGCCTGTAGTATAAAACTGCAGTGCTTCACTTGTTGCTGTATCCTTAGCTATATGGTGTGATCTTTTTCTAGCGTGCCAACCTGCTGATCTGAAAATACCTGTCTCTTACCTTGCACTCAACAACAGCTCTCATTAAATTATGTCTAACATTTACAGAGGTTTCTCACATGACATGACACACACTTTACTCAATCACACATTTATCTAAAATTTATTTATTTATTTTAAAAAGGTTCATAAATTATTTCTTCTCTAGCCACTTTGTGAGGTTGTTGCTTAACTAGGTGAAATTATCAAAGAAGATTCTGTACCAAAAACCTCCCAGTTATTGCACTGGTTGCTAGCAGATTTCCACAGTTAGCTGTACTTCTTCAGATAAAAATGCTTTGAATACTTCCTAACTACTGGCCCAGCAGTAGAAATACTAGAAAGAGTGATGGAAACTGGAAATGGAGAAGGTTTGCCTTCAAAGTAAAAGCTGCACCTCAGCCAAAATTTTTCATAAAGTGCCACTATAACTCTGAAGCCAACTGCCTCCATTTCTAGTTTATGTTACACTTTTGGCAGGTTCAGTACAACTCGGAGAGTAGACAGTGTTTTTGGATACATCCATCACTTCGATTCAAATTGCTACAGCAGAAATATGCTGGTGGCCAAAGCAAACACAAGGTTTTTGCCAACTGGTTGGGGAATAGACCAACTACTTAAGTGACAGGTGGTTACCACTAGCCTCTTGGGCTGTATGACCAAGGTATTATTCACTCAATCCTACACTTTCACCATAATTGTTATATATCTAAAATGGCATACAGGTTAATGTTACGTGGGGAGTGGTTGCATGTCTCCAAAATACCAATAGTCATTCTCATACAGGTCATTACTTGTCCTCAGACCTTTTATTTTGGCAGAGTACTTGATGACAATAACCTCCTATTTATGTCACTCTTCGCTTTTTCTCCATAGAGTTTAAGGCTTTGTGAATGTTGAAGGTATCAGAGACACCTAATGTCTGGATTTGCAAATACAGAAATTTTCTAAAGAAAAAAAAATGGAATATAGTCAAAAGTAAATTGTGAGCATAGAGGCAAATGAGTAGCCATTTATACTGTGTTTCCTAAGGAAGCTTAAGTGGCTAGATCTTTCTAGAGAAATGTCACTGTGTCTCTCCAGAAGTGCAGGCCAAAGTGACTCATCTGTGCTCATTAAAACAGTACTACAGTAACAGTATCGTAGAATTTCAAAAATTCAGTAAGGTTAAACACTTGCTACTGTACACCTAGCAAGACACTAAAACATTAGACTGCATTGTCTGTAATGTGTTCCTCTAAAATACCACAGCTAAAAGAAGCAGAGGAAATAAGTAATTTCCCTGTTTTGGTTGTTTTGTTGTCTTTGTGTCTACTCTGCATTTTTCTTGCTATTCTAGCCAACTCTTGGATCACAGTGAACATGCACAATATGTTATTTTACTCAACATTTTACAATGAACTTATCTTACTTTTAAACATGTGCTTTTTTAGGAAAATACATTTGGAAATTAAACAGACTATTTAAGATGACAAATCTCTTACAGGTTAGGACATGGTCTTAACAACATATCTGAATATTGTCCTATAATATATCCTTCACTTATGCAAAAGACAAGTCACAGCTTCTTCTCTTTGCTGGATTTATTTTTGACCATGGTAGCACCTCGTGACCTGCTGGTAAGATAGCAGACATTAAGACAAGTCTGTGCAAAACTTGGCAATGAAAGGTAATTCTGGCTATGATCCCAGACTTTTCCTTCCATTCATCATTTATCACTTACTCAGTACATCTAAATTAAAATTTAAAAACTGTATGATTATTTTTTCCTTGCAGAAAGACATTAACATTTTTTATAACAAACAATTTTCTAGTATTGAATTATCTGAGCTGGCAGTCCTTCTTAAACTCTATTCCTAGTAGAGATATATAACACTTGTCTGGCATTAATACAAAGTCTTGCTCTGAATTTTATTTCACATGGCTGAGGTGTTTATGTCCTGTAATAGTACACCAGTGGCATTTCAAGACTTCTCCAAATTTAAAACTCAGTACTGGCTGTGATGTCAAAATGACTTGAGCTTAGAGTTTAGTATAAACTCTTTCAACTTAATATCACTGTCAAGTTAATATCAAGATTGATTGGAATAAATAATTCACAAACTATGTAGTGCACTATTATAATTTACCACTGGGTATACTGTAGACATTACTGATGTACAACTAACTAATTAACCTATATTAACATAGGTCCTGGCAGAATGGAAGCAGAAGTATGAGGAGAGCCCAAAAGCAGGCTCGTTCTCTCAGCACTGAGTTGTTCAAGATGAAGAACTCATATGAAGAGGCTCTGGATCATCTTGAGACCATGAAGAGAGAGAACAAGAACTTGCAGCGTATGCTTAACTTGCTTTTGCTGTAGCAAAAACATTTGCATATGTCAGCTCCAAGTACTAAAACTCTTGGCTGTGTCTGCTCTTTAGAGAAGATCTCAGATCTGACTGAGCAGATTGGTGAGACTGGACAGAGTATCCATGAGCTGGAAAAGGCCAAGAAGACTGCTGAGACTGAGAAGTCTGAAATACTTTATCAGGATTCCCAACTGTAGATGGATGAACCTTTCAGAGGACAGGAAGACATGAAGGAGCAGGTCACCATGGTGGAGCGCAGAAATGGTCTCATGATGGCTGAAATTGAGGAGCTGAGAGCCGCTCTGGAGCAGACAGAGAGAGGATTAGGAGTTGCTGGACAGGAGTTGGTTGGTGCTAGTGACCATGTCAGACTGCTTCCCTCAGGTTTGATTGTTTTTAACACTTACAATAATATATTAAAATCCTTTTTACAGTGCTCCTCAAAACAAAGCTACTGTATACTATTCTGTACAAATATCTGAGAGAGAATGCAGAAATATGAAAAGTAAATATCAAATTAAACTGAAGTTAAATTAACTAATATATAAATGAGGGTGCCCTCATTTTAATTCCCATCAACTACAAGAGGAACATGCCAACATCTACCTACCCAGGCTGAGAAAGGTTCAGCATGAGCTGGAAGAAGCTCAAGAGTGCAATGACATTGCTGAGTCCCAGGTCAACAAGCTAAGAGCCAAGAGTTTGATCATGCCATGTAACATCTGCGGATTTTACTTTGACATATACCTAAGAACCGCTGCAGACCATGTACATCCTTTGCATTGAAAGAAATTATCCTCTTCCTTCACTGCATACCGGAATATATTTGAAGCCTGAGAAGTAAATTGATATAGAGCGACCAGTAGGAATTAGTTCAAACATGTCATTTAAAAATAAACCACCAAAAATACCCCAAAAATTGGATAATTTCCATCATTTGTTTAACTCAGTCCAAACTGTGTAGGGCAATATATTATACTTGCAAAACTGATATTCTAATCCAAAGGAGATTTTAATCACTTTAAGAGAGCAAAGTAGCCTTTGAGGCAACTTCCAGTGCCAAAACATAATATCCTAAACAACTGAAAAATCTATGCCCTCCATCAAACATTGCATTCAGTATATTCAAGCTATTTAAGTGTGAATCACACCTTAAAGTAAACTAAATAGACAGGAAGAGCATAAAAGACTTTATCTTGTTTTATACATGCTTTACATTATGTAAAATAATAGCCAATAATAAGCGATATCAGAAATTTGTTGAAATTTTGTAATTTTGTACAGTTGGAGAAGTTTTAATTTTTCAACTTTAGTCAAGGTTTCATTTTGATTTCCACTTCTGAAAATGTCAAGCAACAGTCAGTTTTTGTGACTAAAATGCCCTAGTTTTGTGTGAAACTTCATAGGGGAATTCAAAACAAATAAGTTGACAGATTTTCTATCAAACTATGGAAATTAAATAACATAAGAACACAAAATTCACCTGCTTCTCTGGATATGTCGGACAAATGTCCTCTCAGTGCAAGAGTGGTATCCTAACTCTGTCCCTTAGCTGTTGTTATTTTTGACTACAGCAATGACTTGTAATCCTCTGTTAAGATGGTAAATGATAAACCACACCTGTCAACAGTTTCAGCATGTAATCTGAGAGGACACTGGAAATTATTCCAAATGTCAAGATACGTTTTCATCTCTGCTCATTCAGTAAAAGTTGAATATAAAGATTTTAAATAGAAACTAATACTATGTTCTTGTACCAAAATTGTACCCTAACCCAAAATTTTTCAACAATCGTAAGTGAAAAACACTCATTTTAAATCTTATTTGTGCAGCTGTTATTTAAGGTCTTGCCTGAGGTGCCAACTTTTCATGTATTACGTTTCGAGGAATCATGTGTTGCTCTTTTAACTTTTATGGAAAGTACAGCAGCATGAAATTAGTATCAGATACCAGAGACATGTATACTGTGCAACTATACACCAGTGACATTCTGACGCTTCCCCAACATTAGCACTCAGTCCTGGCTGTCATATCAAAATTAAATTGATGCAACTGCATATCATAAAATGTGTCAACTGAAATCTGATCCCCAAGTACTTCTCTGGATTTATTGGAGCAGACACTTCACAAACCATGCTGTGCACTCTTGCTATGTAGTATTGAATAAACTGTGAACATAATAAGAGTAGTAAATACTGTATTTACAAAGTTAAAAATGATGTGTTAAAAGTGAAATAACATTATAAGAAAATGCATTAATAATATATATCTGAATGTATAATATAGTCGAATACAGTTCTATACAGATTGACTTACCAATACTTAATTAGAATATGTAAAGTTGAGAAATTTTTAATTAATTTTTTTTTTTTGATCCAACAGTATTTTATCTTCTTTATTATAGAGAAATTGACTATAAAATTATGTTTAAAAAATATTTTTGGCATTTTTTTTGTCTCATGTTTAACAGAACATAATCAAAACTCACAACTATTCTGTCAATCATAAAGTAACATAGAGGTATTTTAATAAGTACTCATGGTGTCAGCAATGAGTCGATAACTGTCAAGTAACAAAGTGAAAAGCTGTGCTGAGCAGACACACTTTATAAAAAAAGACAAAAAAAAAAGGGCAGGGATAGCTCAGTAGGTAGAGTGGTGGCCCCATGATCGGAAGGTCGGGGGTTCGACTCCACTGAACAGCTACCCTGAGGTACCCCTGAGCAAGGTGCCGTCCCTACACACTGCTCCCCGGGCGCTGCATTGGTGGCTGCCCACTGCTTCACTGGGTGAATGGGTTAAATGCAGAGGAACTATTTCCCTATGGGGACTAACACGCACACTTTACACTTTACTTTACACTCGAGCAGCAACTCTGGAAACCCAATCCAGCTGACAGGCATGTGACACAGGTGAGTGTGGTCAAGTATTTACTGGTTACCATATTTTAACGGTTTAGACATTCCTGTTAAATATGTTGCTGCTGTTTGAGTGTAGTAGCACTTTGGTCAGTCAACTGAATGAATAAATATTTTTACTGAAATATGATGGTTGAAATATTAGACACAAAGGAGCAAAGCAACTTAATTTTGGCATTTCTTTAGATTGCAGCATCTTTACACGGGATACTATTAGTTTTCAGTTGGGGTCCAGTGAGGTAAGTGGTTCGATGTAAATGACATTTTCATGATAGAAGATATCTGCTTAAGAAAATTTCAAGAACTCATAAATGGTCACATTGTTTCAATTTATGTCATATTTTCAGTCTCCAGTAAAGTGCCAACATGAGCACAGACGCGGAGATGGAGCAGTATGGCCCGGCAGCCATTTACCTCCAGAAGCCTATATATTTGTCATCCTGTCTATGTAAACATTTGTCTGCTATATCACAACAAACACCCTGTTGATTATTTAAAAATTGCTTTCTATTCAGACGGTCACTGTGAAAGAGGAAGACATCCACCCCAGGAACCCTCCAAAGTTCGATAAGATGGAGGATATGGCAATGATGACCCACCTTAACGAGCCATCTGTGCTGTTTAACCTCAAAGAGCGTTTTGCATCATGGATGATCTACGTAAGTTTTATTTGAAGGTTTATCTAAAAGAAATAAAATGTAAATGAAAAATGAAAAATGTAAGCAACCCTTATGCTCTCTGCTATGACAAAGACCTACTCTGGGTTGTTCTGCGTCCCAATCCCTACAAGTGGCTTCCTGTGTATGATGCTACATGTGTAGCAGCATACAGAGGAAAGAAGAGGATTGAGGCTCCACATCTTCTCCATCTCTGACAATGGCTATCAGTTCATGCTCACTGGTAAGTAGTAGTTACTGTTAAAGTTTGTGAATACAAACTAAAAGATGCCTTAAATGTGAGGTTATTGCTGCAGTTAGATAAAATTCTTTAATGTTTGTATTCCAGATCGGGAAAACCAATCTGTTCTGATTACGAGAGTATTGCACACGTGATTACATCTAAAACTTGATACAGAGGGTGAATCTTGAAAATATGTCTTTTATACTGTCTCCAGTGGAGAATCTGGTGCAGGAAAGACTGTCAACACCAAACGTGTCATCCAGTACTTCGCAACAATTGCATGAGCTAAGAAGGAATCATCACCTGGCAAGATGTAGGTAATATTGGTTATTTATGATAGACCCATGTGTGGGTTGAGTTTAAGTACGATTCTAATGTTCTAATGTCATTTACAGCTTTTGTTGTGGCAAAAATATTTGCATATATCAGCTCCAAGTACTAAAACTCTTGGCTGTGTTTGCTCTGTAGAGGAGATCTCAGATCTGACTGAGCAGATTGGTGAGACAGGAAAGAGCATCCATGAGCTGGAAAAGGCCAAGAAGACTGTTGAGACTGAGAAGTCTGAAATTCAGACAGCTCTGGAGGAAGCTGAGGTAATGTATTTTATAAAAATGTACTGTTTGTATTCAAATTTTAAAAAGTATCCCTTCTCCAGTTTATGTTGCAATAAATTTTTTTTACATAACTCTTTTAATCATTTAAAGGGAACTCTGGAGCATGAGGAGGCCAAGATCCTTCGTGTTCAGCTTGAGCTAAACCAGTTAAAAGTGAGATTGACAGGAAGCTGTCAGAGAAGGACGAGGAGATGGAGCAGATCAAGAGGAACAGCCAGAGGGTGATTGACTCCATGCAGAGCACTCT